AGAGGGGCGTGAGGGGGCAGGGGTTGATTTTGACAAACGTTTCGCTGTTGGCCGCCCGCTGTTGCTCGTTTTCATAATCGGGCGGTAATTGTACACCAATTTGACTTATGAATATAAATTAACTGTGAAACGTGCGACAGTTAAAAAAACACATGTACATATATATATGTATGTGTGTGTGTTTATGTGTGTGTGTGTGTTTGTGCGTGACTCAGTCTCTGCGGCATTTGGGGGGCGGGGCCACACTGGAAGTTATGTGCTATCAAGATCTGACTACAATATTGTTGACAATATTGTGGACAATTGTGCCCAACTGTGAATACTCGCTGAATTCACGGTGAATACTCGCTAAATACTCGCTAAATACTCGGTGAATACTCGCCGTATGCTTGCATTGTACTATATTCTATAAATAAGATTTAGATTAATGATAAGTACTTCTCCTCAACATTTTGCTTTATTTAATAATCAAGTCTTTATTTGAAGGCGGCCTTTTGGAGATAAGACTTCATTTATTCGAGTTCAGTCAGACTATATCTTTAACAGATCTAACGATATTTAGAATTCACATTTAAGAATTCACAAGAAATTCTTTCATCTTGGGTACATTCCCTTATCCTGTCAATTGAGACACCTTCTTGGACTCAAGTATTGGCAACAAGTCCATCAATTGGAAAGCTGTCTCTCTGGAATTAACATTTATTTATTCCAATCTGTTCTATAGAGTTTTATTAGTTTGAAAACCTATTCCTTTTTAAAATTGGACTTCTTTTGCCCGAGTTACACCCTTTTAAAAGCTAATTTTTATATTTAAGAAATATTTGGGTAAATTTTGTCCGCTCAAGAGGAGGTTTCGTCATAGTCGATTCAGAGAGAATGTTCGCTAGAAGAGTTTCTACTGTACACTAAATTCTACCAAAGGATCGGGTAATTGGTGATTAATCATGAAGTTGTCCATTTAATAGAGGGACCAAGGGTATGGCCAACAAAAATGTTCGCCCTAGAGGAGTTTCCGCCTAATGCGAGTGTCCGTGGGAAGAGTTTTCACTGTATTGGCAACGGACTTATGTAAATACAATTGAAGAGCACATAAAATCTCTAACGTATAAGAGCTAAATTCTTTTCTGTGAGATAATATTTTGCAAAGCTTACCGAATCAAAATAGATTTAATGTAAACGTAATATCTCTTGTGCCTTTTACTTCAACTATTTCTTCTACCATTCCTTTTTTCTTTTTACCTAATATCAATTTCCACATTTTCCCTGCAGCATTGCGACCATTTGCCCATTGTTTACAACGTTGTTTTTTGTAGTTGGCTTTTTTTTTTTTTTTTTGAGGAAAACAATGGCATCAAACTATGAATGTCTGTGCAGGAGAACTCAATCATTGACAGGATTTAATATAAAGCTTGTTTTGTAATTAGATTTTGTCGCTGGACGACATGGGTGTAATTGCTTTAAACTGTCCAAACGGCCATTAAGAGCCGAAACGAAACGTTGGCCAATCATCGAGCCACATCCTGTGCCAAGTGCCAAGAACCAAAAAAAAAAAAAAACAAAAAAGGAACCCAGAAATGGATTGGTAGAGGCGAAGTGAAGTGGACAGGCGAGCTAACCAAGTGATTTGCATGTGTAATTCGATTTGCGGTCTCAGGAGTTGACGAGCTCAACACCAGCAACAGCTGCAGCTGCTATCCTGTGTGTCCTCTGTATGTGTGTGTGTGTGTGTGTGTGTGAGCTGACAGCTAGACAAATGCTGGCGGCAACGCGACTGCTGCTCCGGGGCAGAAGCTTCAAATAAATCAAGAGAGCCAATTTATAATTTTGGTATATGGCCCATTAAATGAAATCTTATGAAGTTCGGATGACAATTACATAAATAATTATACGAAAGGGTGTTGCGTCTAGCATATCAAAGCGAGCGTATGTGTGTGTGTGTGTGTGTTAAGGAAGAGTGGGAGTGGGAGTGGGAGTGAGTGGAAGGGGGTTGTAACTCAAGCATTAGATGTTATACACACGCACCAAAAAAAAAAAAATATAACGGAGGCGGTCTGTGGCTCATGTGCTTGTATTATTTATGTGTGTCGCACACACGCGCACGCACACCACAAAAGTACCCTGGGCAGGATATACAATTGCACTTAAAGCACACTCTCCATATGTTGCCACAAAGCGCCTTTGCTGACTGCCGCATCCGCATCCGCATCCGGTCGTTGAATGTAACTGTAACTCAATCCATGTGATCCGAGCGCGTGGAGCCTGGCTCTACGGTTACGCCCCAGCATACGACAGAGAGTCCTGTACGGCCCGTGCGTCCCTTGTCCTGTTTTAGACGTCGTTGCCGTCGTTGCAGCAGCATTTCAAGTGCGTTTCATTTACAATTTCCTTCGGTTTTATGCGCCCGTTGCGCCACACAATGGCGCGCACACACACACAGGCACACACACACACACACACCTATATAGGGGTGTGGGCCAGTTGCATGTTCTTGGCTTTTATGTCATTGTTATATGCTTATTGTGTCTTTCGTTGCCGTTAAAACTGTTTGTTGCAATCGAATCACAGCGGCCGTAAAAGATGCAAATGCCAGCCACGAAGCCATTCAACAGATCCCCAAATGCAGCGCGTACCAAATGGCGTATACGTAATATACATATATATATACATATGTCTGTATATATATGTGAGTGTTTGTGCGTGTGTGTGTGTGTATTTATGCTGCATATGAAAGCAGACGCTGAAAATTGAACAGCAGCTGTTGCCAGCTGGACGTGTAAATGTGTTTAATGCCCAACCAGAGCCAAAAGCCAGCCAAACCAGCCAAAAAGTAGGCCAAACATACAACAGTGACTGATATATACATAAATACACATAGACATTTACAAAAAAAAAAAAATATATATATATCTAGGTATATATACAGCCGCAGACCCCGCCTCGACAATTGTTTGTTCAACCAACTTTGTCTGTCTGTGCGCCGACTGCGCCACGCTTTTGTCTGTCTATCCTTGTGGCGGGTAGGTGTGTGGAGGGGTGGGGAGGGGGGCTGCCTTGTCTGTGCAGGTCAAAGGGGCAAGGGGCAGGGGTTCAGTCAGCCAGCAAAAGTGCACAGATGAGAGACAATTCAATTTCTCATGTGAGAAGTCACTTCGCGGCACTTCGCTGCCACTTGGCAGCCATTCGAGCACAAGAACGAGAGACACTCGCCGTGTTCTCGGGCTAATAAAATAAATGTATTGCATGTGGTTTACAGTACATTTGAAGAGCCAAGATGTATATCTACACATATCCAGATACAGCTACAGATATATATATATATATATATATATGGAGGAACATACAAACGGAAAGCGGATAGCAAACATTAGGGAAATTTGTCTGAAAGTGCACCGAATTGAATTATATAGTATTCTGTTCGCAAATTGCAATAAAACGTTTTATCTACTTATCTATTAGCTAGTTTTGTTCAGTTTAGATAATTTGGCTGTAGTTAGCCAGGTTTTGACAAAATCGTGATATTGGGCATATCTCCGCGCGGAGCTATATCGTTTTGAAAAGTAATATCTCATAGTTATGTCGTTTTGAAACGACATTTTGGCCGACATTATTTGGCCAAGATATTGAAAAATATCATCAAAAATATTGACTTTAGAAACGAACCGTTTTTTGGTCAACAACTTTTTTTAACCAACCGATTTTAAATTTCTTAGAATGCCAATTAATAGTAGGGATCCGAACGACTTCAAAAAGGTATAAAATAATAAATTCGGATATTTTTTGGACGAGATATTTTAAAAAAATCATCAAAAAAGTTTTGATTTGCGATCCGAACCCGATTTTGACAAAAAAACGTGATGTAACCCCTTGCTTTTTGGCCGATTTGGGTCAAAATTTTGATTTTGAAAATTATGATGCTAATCGATAGGACTGATCCTTACGAGTGCAAAATGGTATAAAATTCAAAACTCGGACATTATTTGGCCGAGATATTCAAAAAATCATCAAAAAAGGTTGACTTCAGAAACAAACCGTTTTTTGGACAATAAATTTTTTTAACCAATCGATTTTAAATTTCTTTGAATGCCAATTGATAGTGGGGATCCGAACGAATTCAAAAAGGTATAAAATAATAAATTCGGATATTTTTTGGCCGAGATATTTTAAAAAAATCATCAAAAAAGTTTTGATTTTCGATCCGAACCCGATTTTGACAAAAAAACGTGATGTAACCCCTTGCTTTTTGGCCGATTTGGGTCAAAATTTTGATTTGCATATTTTTGATGCCAATCGATAGTACAGATCCTTTCGAGTGCAAAATGGTATAAAACTTCAAAATCTGATATTATTTGGCCGAGATGCTCCAAAAATTCATCAAAAAAGGTTGACTTCAGAAACTTCAGAACATATGAACATGCATGCGTTTCTTTCAGCCGTACCTTAACTACCAGCTGCTGCTAAAAAAAAATTCCTAGGCGAACAGAAATGCTCAGTTTTTTTATTTTTATTTTTATTATTATTACTTTGGTTTATTTAAATTTTTCTGTTATTATAAGGAACAACTTAAATTAAATTTATATGAATACAACTACTTATTATAAAATAATTATATAATATATAAATCGATCTGGGAGATCGGATCGGTTCGGAGTCCTCCAATTCTACGCTTATTCAGAAGACGCCTAGCCAGACGATTAGGGTGTATATTTATTACGTCCCCGACTTTGGGCACTCCTAGGTCTTTTTCCAAGTCGGAGGTTCTCATATACCAGGGGGCACCAGACAGATATCGGAGCGTTTTTGCTTGGAGCACCCTGATTTTTGAAAGACGGGACTTTGCAGCAATACCAAATACCTGAATACCATAACGCCAGGCGGGAGCTGCTATAGCAGAAGCTAGCCAGAAGAGATTCAAATACACATATTACTTTATATTGCATACCTTTAGGGGTTAGCTGGTACTTTTATGAAACTATTTTGGCAAGCCATTTGAAACGAACGTAATGTTAGTTTTTCCCATTTCAGATCTCTCCAACGATGATATTTCGGATGATATTGCCTGCGCCAAGACCATACAACAGCGCGACGGCTTCAAATATTGGAAGGGCTGGAGTCGGTATTGCCGCAACACACAGAACCTGCCCAATTTGGATGTCGCCTGCAAGCTGAGCACTTTATCGCCCATACGGAGTCCCAATTCGTTTTAGAAAGGCAGCATGATTCAAATATCTTCAAGCGGAACTACTTATGTTTTATTTTAAGAAATCACAATTCCAATTGGAACTGTTGACAATTGTGCACAGTTGTATTTCAGGTATTAGTTCTGGCTTTCTATTTTGTCAGCAATGCTTAAGAAAATACTTTGTGCATATATTATATACAAGAGTTGTAAGGTAAATATTTAATAAAATATAAATATAATAAAACCAAATCAAATTTTTTCCTTGATCATGGCAAAAAATACCGGGAAAATACGGTCCGATTTCGGATACACCTCTTTCTACTCGTACGGATGCCGACTATCGATTGGCACCAAAAAATCCGCATTCCAAGAGATGACCCAAAATCAGAAAAAATGCAGTCGTTACATCATGTTTTTCCGCGAGTTAACCCTCCCAATATGAGCGGAATCGGGCTTGATTTGGCCGAGATATGGCCATTTAAAATTTCCAAAAAATTTCGAATTATTATAATGTCGCCACGCGGAGATGTGACGTTTCGAAACGAAATAGCTCCGCCGCTCCAGAATTGACGCGGAGATATGACGTTTCGAAACGACATAGCTCCGCCGCTCTAAATTTGGCAGGGAGATCTGACGCTTCGAAACGACATAGCTCCGCCGCTCTAAATTTGGCAGGGAGATCTGACGCTTCGAAACGACATAGCTCCGCCGCTCTAGAATTGACGGGGAGAAATGACGTTTCGCAACGACATAGCTCCGCCGCTCTAGAATTGACGGGGAGATGTGACGTTTCGAAACGACATAGCTCCGCCACTCTAGAATTGACAGGGAGATATGACGTTTCGAAACGACATAACCTCCCCCGCTCTAGAATTGACAGGGAGATCTGACGCTTTGAAACGACATAACCTCCGCCGCTCTAGAATTGACGGGGAGATATGACGCTCCGAAACGACATAGCTCCGCCGCTCTAGAATTGACGGGGAGATCTGACGCTTCGAAACGAAATAGCTCCGCCGCTCTAGAATTGACAGGGAGATCTGACGCTTCGAAACGATATAACCTCCGCCGCTCTAGAATTGACGGGGAGATATGACGCTCCGAAACGACATAGCTCCGCCGCTCTAGAATTGACGGGGAGATCTGACGCTTCCAAACGACATAGCTCCGCCGCTCTAGAATTGACGGGGAGTTGTGACGCTTCGAAACGACATAGCTCCGCCGCTCTAGAATTGACAGGGAGATCTGACGCTTTGAAACGACATAACCTCCGCCGCTCTAGAATTGACGGGGAGTTGTGACGCTTCGAAACGACATAGCTCCGCCGCTCTAGAATTGACGGGGAGATATGACGCTTCGAAACGATATAACCTCCGCCGCTCTAGAATTGACGGGGAGATATGACGCTCCAAAACGACATAGCTCCGCCGCTCTAGAATTGACGGGGAGATCTGACGCTTCGAAACGAAATAGCTCCGCCGCTCTAGAATTGACGGGGAGATATGACGCTTCGAAACGATATAACCTCCGCCGCTCTAGAATTGACGGGGAGATATGACGCTCCGAAACGACATAGCTCCGCCGCTCTAGAATTGACGGGGAGATATGACGCTCCAAAACGACATAGCTCCGCCGCTCTAGAATTGACGGGGAGATCTGACGCTTCGAAACGAAATAGCTCCGCCGTTCTAGAATTGACGGGGAGATCTGACGCTTCGAAACGAAATAGCTCCGCCGCTCTAGAATTGACGCGGAGATATGACGTTTCGAAACGACATAGCTCCGCCACTCTAGAATTGACAGGGAGATCTGACGCTTCGAAACGAAATAGCTCCGCCGCTCTAGAATTGACGCGGAGATATGACGTTTCGAAACGACATAGCTCCGCCACTCTAGAATTGACAGGGAGATCTGACGCTTCGAAACGAAATAGCTCCGCCGCTCTAGAATTGACGGGGAGATCTGACGCTTCGAAACGAAATAGCTCCGCCGCTCTAGAATTGACGGGGAGATATGACGCTTCGAAACGACATAGCTCCGCCGCTCTAGAATTGACGCGGAGATATGACGTTTCGAAACGACATAGCTCCGCCGCTCTAGAATTGACGGGGAGTTGTGACGCTTCGAAACGACATAGCTCCGCCGTTCTAGACTTGACGGGGAGATATGACGTTTCGAAACGACATAACCTCCGCCGCTCTAGAATTGACGGGGAGATATGACGCTTCGAAACGACATAGCTCCGCCGCTCTAGAATTGACGCGGAGATATGACGTTTCGAAACGACATAGCTCCGCCGCTCTAGAATTGACGCGGAGATATGACGTTTCGAAACGACATAGCTCCGCCACTCTAGAATTGACAGGGAGATCTGACGCTTCGAAACGACATAACCTCCGCCGCTCTAGAATTAACGGGGAGATCTGACGCTTCGAAACGAAATAGCTCCACCGCTCTAGAATTGACGGGGAGATCTGACGCTTCGAAACGAAATAGCTCCGCCGCTCTAGAATTGACGGGGAGATATGACGCTTCGAAACGACATAGCTCCGCCGCTCTAGAATTGACGCGGAGATATGACGTTTCGAAACGACATAGCTCCGCCGCTCTAGAATTGACGGGGAGTTGTGACGCTTCGAAACGACATAGCTCCGCCGTTCTAGACTTGACGGGGAGATATGACGTTTCGAAACGACATAACCTCCGCCGCTCTAGAATTGACGGGGAGATATGACGCTTCGAAACGACATAGCTCCGCCGCTCTAGAATTGACGCGGAGATATGACGTTTCGAAACGACATAGCTCCGCCGCTCTAGAATTGACGCGGAGATATGACGTTTCGAAACGACATAGCTCCGCCACTCTAGAATTGACAGGGAGATCTGACGCTTCGAAACGACATAACCTCCGCCGCTCTAGAATTAACGGGGAGATCTGACGCTTCGAAACGAAATAGCTCCACCGCTCTAGAATTGACGCGGAGATATGACGTTTCGAAATGACATAGCTCCGCCGCTCTAGAATTGACGCGGAGATATGACGTTTCGAAACGACATAACCTCCGCCGCTCTGGAATTAACGGGGAGATCTGACGCTTCGAAACGAAATAGCTCCGCCGCTCTAGAATTGACGGGGAGATCTGACGCTTCGAAACGCCATAACCTTCGCCGCTCTAGAATTGACGGGGAGATCTGACGCTTCGAAACGCCATAACCTTCGCCGCTCTAGAATTGACAGGGAGATCTGACGCTTCGAAACGACATAACCTCCGCCGCTCTAGAATTGACGGGGAGTTGTGACGTTTCGAAACGACATAACCTTCGCCGCTCTAGAATTGACGGGGAGATATGACGTTTCGAAACGACATAGCTCCGCCACTCTAGAATTGACAGGGAGAATGGCGCTTCGAAACGCCATAACCTTCGCAGCTCTAGAATTGACGCGGAGATATGACGTTTCGAAACGACATAGCTCCGCCACTCTAGAATTGACGGGGAGATCTGACGCTTCGAAACGACATAACCTCCGCCGCTCTAGAATTGACGCGGAGATATGACGTTTCGAAACGACATAACCTCCGCCACTCTAGAATTGACAGGGAGATATGACGTTTCGAAACGACATAGCTCCGCCGCTCTAGAATTGACGGGGAGATATGACGTTTCGAAACGACATAACCTCCGCCACTCTAGAATTGACAGGGAGAAATGACGTTTCGAAATGACATAGCTCCGCCGCTCTAGAATTGACGCGGAGATATGACGTTTCGAAACGACATAACCTCCGCCACTCTAGAATTGACAGGGAGATATGACGTTTCGAAACGACATAGCTCCGCCGCTCTAGAATTGACGGGGAGATATGACGTTTCGAAACGACATAGCTACGCCGCTCTAGAATTGACGGGGAGATCTGACGCTTCGAAACGCCATAACCTTCGCCGCTCTAGAATTGACGCGGAGATATGACGTTTCGAAACGACATAGCTCCGCCACTCTAGAATTGACAGGGAGATCTGACGCTTCGAAACGACATAACCTCCGCCGCTCTAGAATTGACGGGGAGATCTGACGCTTCGAAACGCCATAACCTTCGCCGCTCTAGAATTGACGCGGAGATATGACGTTTCGAAACGACATAGCTCCGCCACTCTAGAATTGACAGGGAGATCTGACGCTTCGAAACGACATAACCTCCGCCGCTCTAGAATTAACGGGGAGATCTGACGCTTCGAAACGAAATAGCTCCGCCGCTCTAGAATTAACGGGGAGATCTGACGCTTCGAAACGAAATAGCTCCGCCGCTCTAGAATTAACGGGGAGATCTGACGCTTCGAAACGAAATAGCTCCGCCGCTCTAGAATTGACGGGGAGATATGACGTTTCGAAACGACATAGCTCCGCCGCTCTATAATTGACGCGGAGATCTGACGCTTCGAAACGCCATAACCTCCGCCGCTCTAGAATTGACAGGGAGATCTGACGCTTCGAAACGACATAACCTCCGCCGCTCTAGAATTGACGGGAGATGTGACGCTTCCAAAAGATATAACCTCCGCCGCTCTATAATTGACGCGGAGATATGACGTTTCGAAACGACATAGCTCCGCCGCTCTAGAATTGACGGGGAGATCTGACGCTTCGAAACGACATAGCTCCGCCGTTCTAGAATTGACGGGGAGTTGTGACGTTTCGAAACGATATAACCTCCGCCGCTCTAGAATTGACGCGGAGATATGACGTTTCGAAAAGACATAGCTCCGCCGCTCTAGAATTGACGGGGAGATCTGACGCTTCGAAACGACATAGCTCCGCCGTTCTAGAATTGACGGGGAGTTGTGACGTTTCGAAACGACATAACCTCCGCCGCTCTAGAATTGACAGGGAGATCAAACGCTTCGAAACGACATAACCTCCGCCGCTCTAGAATTGACGGGGAGAAATGACGCTTCGAAACGACATAGCTCCGCCGCTCTATAATTGACAGGGAGATATGACGCTTCGAAACGACATAGCTCCGCCGCTCTATAATTGACAGGGAGATATGACGCTTC